TATATATATATATATATACATACATACATATATATATATATATATATATATATATATATATATATATATATATAATTTAATATTCTTTAATATTACGTTATGTTTTAATAATTAACAGTATTATTTGAATACTATTTTAGTTTTTTATTTACTATTTAAATAAAATAAATAAAGTATATATAAAATAAATTTAGTATATGAATAAAACTATTTAATTTTTTTTATTTTATTATAATACGTTTATGGGTCAACATACGTGACCTTTTGTCATCATTTACTCACCTTTATGATTTTCTAAATGCACATGACTTTATGAAACCTCAAACCTATCATTTAGCATTTCACAGAGGAAATAAAAAAATGGTGCGGTAATGACAGGGGGTGAGAAAATAATGATGGTTTTTATTTTCGGGACTTCAAAATGTTACAGAGAACTTTTTGTCCTTGCAAAAAAAAAAAAAAAAAAAAAGGACCATGGTAACCATATTTTTTGCCAAAATACCACAGTTACTACAGTTAACCATGTACAACTATAATTAACATGGGATCTACTTCAAATAGTGTAAGAGTCTTTCTTTGATTTTGACTGCTTTGATGACAGTGCTTACCGCAGGTTTGATGCAATAAAAATAACTGCACTACCTTTGGTATTCTGACGGAAACTGTGGTTATCATGGTGCATTTGTGGAAAGGGTTCTGCTGTGCTATAAAAAGCATTATGTCTGTAATCTGTGCTGCCGCACCGGACATTTCTGGATATTTGTGGCCATTAATGTGTCTGCATTTATAATCATTGTTACTGCTCATCTTCATCATGCAAGATCTGTGCTTAAAAATTAAATAATCCAATTAAATTATTAAATTACGTAACGTTTTATAATAGTCATAATCTGGAAACACACGGTTCCATTTCTCCATTCATTCGTTCATTCATTTATTCATTCATTCTTTCTTTCTTTCTTTCTTTCTTTCTTTCTTTCTTTCTTTCTTTCTTTCTTTCTTCCTTCTTTTCTTTTATTCATTCATTCAGTTATAGTAATGAGTAAGTGATTGCTTGTAATCTGTTTTGTAAAATCAAATTATATATGATAAAAATTGTATCATATCACTTTTAAATTATATATATTTTAAGTCAATATATCACTTTCAATTATATAATTTTGTAATGATTTTTTGTATTTTTAGACAACAATTATTATTGATTAAATAGTTTTAAGAAAAGAGTTGTAGATACATATTTTATTTTAATTTAAGTTAATGTATTTACATTTTATTTATTTATTTATTTTTTTTTTACAGTCAAGCTGGGAATTATTTATACCGAAGGGATATAAATAATTTCAGGCTTGACTTTTATTTATTTATTTTATTTATTTATTTATTTAATGTATTTATTTATTCAATTATTTATTTATTAAAATATTTATTTATTTATGAACCATATTTTATATAAATCTAACAGATTATTTTCATTCATCAAATATTATTTTTAAGTCTAAACTCAAAAAGTGGGGTGACAGTTCAGAGTTTAATTACATAATTACAAATTTATTTTACTTAGTCTAATTACTTTATCTTTTTGTTTGCACTATTGATTTGATGGAAGA